CTATCTCGTGCTATTCGCGGACGATTCGATCTACCTCGCGGAATATCCCAGCCTTAAGCTAAAATCGGGTGGGCCGAGATATCTCCACGATATCGGACATCCCCGAAACGTTTAGATCAACACTGCGATAAACACGCACACGGGACGAACCTACGCGATCTACGACGACGACAAGGTAGCGGAGATCGACGAGTGTCGCATGATAGTCATTAGACACGCTTCGTTAAAAGATATATTTCCCGGAATACCGCCCGCGATAACGTCAGCCTTTCGATATATCGACGGCAATCTATATTTCTTCGCCAAACGTCAGATTTACGCCTTTAACGAATTTATGAATATCGTAACTTTGGCGGGTCCTTTCGATCTACACGCGCTCGGTATCGAGTGTCCTACGGATGGGTTGCTAAGACAATTGCACGATCTCCTCAGTCGCGTTTATCGTCTCGGCGACGCGACCGAGAGAGAGAGAATCGACGAGGAGGACGACTAGAGAGACTCTGCCGTCATTTTAAAAAAATAGAATATAAGAGAGGACGCGCGTGAAAGGGGAAGAAGCGATCTCTACGCGAGTATATAAAGACCATCCATCAGTTAAGCGCTTCATTGTCGACGGAGAAGGTCGAAGCCTACAAACGAGAAAAAACGAGCGATAATGTATGCGACAATGGGTATATATATAATTTAAGTATATAAAAAAATTATATATATATACAAAACATATAATGATTAGAAAAACATATGATTTTTTTAGTCGCTATAACATATCTTTTCGCGAGATATAATATATGACTTTTTTGAGTTGTTAATAACATTTTATTTTTCATACATTTATGTGCCTGATATAAGACATAATGTGATTTTTTAAGTCATTAATAACTAATATTTAATTTTTTTTGTACGATAATTTTTGTCCTTGGACAAGTGTTCCTACTCTTATATTTAGTTATTAAGAAGTGCAATGTGTTTGTGGTCAAAGTACAAATGTTTAGTATTTGATGTCAGTATTTTTGTTTTTTATGTTAAGACTATTTCCAGAACAATAAATAAAAGTGATTATTTAATATACATTATATTTATTTTCCCAACTTTTACAAGCTTTATGTATACACTTACTGTTTCATTGAATTCATCAGTTAAGCGTTCGAATACCACATTAAAAAAATACAAATAATGACAATAGATAAAAGTAGAACGTAGATCATTCATGACTATTGAACATTATACATAAACTTAACACTAAACTTAAAACTAAACTTAAACTTAACTCATTATACATTAAACCTTAAACTAAACTTAAACTTAACTCATTATACTGTTACGTCCAGACTCGGGGAAGGATGAGTCGACGGAAGGGCGCAACAACTATCTTGACGAATTGAATTTGCGCAGAAGTGGGAATTTTTCAATCTTAGCAAATTAAAAATGTGCCAGTGTCTTCGTTAGGCGGGGTGTTTCCCCTACTTTTTACGTTTTACTCATAGTGATCGTCCATTGGTGAGTTCGATATTCGTTCGGAGATTTCTTGCACGTGTTCAGATTAGAAAAAGATCCTATTCTTCTATAATAATTTTATTGTTATTGGTGCAGCTGTGTTTATTTAATATTCGTTGGAAAATTTTACTATTATAGATGCAGCTGTGTTTGTTGGGTATTTCGTTAGAAAAATTTATTTTATCTTGTGGAGACCGGCATGTTTTTATCATCGATCTTTTACGTTGGTCTGTTTACTGAGCGGTTCGTTTGTCTCACCAATCGACGATCGTTGCCGACACTTCGCGGAAGGAAGGAATCGTGGAATCGCCAGGACGTAACAATACATTAAACCTTAAACTTAACTTATTATATATTAAACTTAACTTATTATACATTAACTTATATTATTAAGGGGGATTAACATTATATGCCCTTAGCGCTTGTTCCCACTGCCAATCCAGCCGACCAATGTCCGAACAAAAATAATCTTTGAGGATGTTTCGCTGAGCATCAGCTCTCACTGTGGGATTGTTGGACCCAAGTCGACCAACATCAGTGATCGGTCCCCTGTACATTTCTCTTCTCCGCTCACCTTCGATGACATCTCCATCTACTCTTTCTCTATCTAGCATAGATGCAGGGCAATAGGTCCTTTCCAATGGTGCTAAATCGTCTTCAGATACCATCAGAAAGTTATGAAGACACACAATTGCTTTTACAATGTCTTCCGCTGTTTCTGGTATGCAACACAGATCCCTTCTCAAAATACGCCACCTTGATGACATGATTCCAAACGTATTTTCAATGGTACGTCTGGCACGACTGAGTCTATAATTGAATATTCTTTCTGCATTGCCAAAAGTTCTGTAAGTTCTGGCATATGGACGCAACATATGGATGCCAAGTGGGAATGCTTCATCGGCGACAAAAGTGAAGGATGGCATCACTGCCAGGAATCTCCTTTGGAAAAGGAAAGTCAATTTCACCTGCATCAATAACCTGGCCGAAAGCGCTGTTTGCCCACACACCTCCATCACTTTGAGATCCTGCAGGAGAAGTGAAAATGAAGCTTACGTAAGTCAATATAATGCAAGCTATAATATCTCGGTGATTGTCATAGAGATACTCACCATAATCGCCAACATCCACCCACGTGAATCGATATTTAGCATCACATGCAGCAATGAGGATTATAGAAAATCTTTTCTTGTAAGAGCTATAAAACTGAGAACCAGTTTTTGGGGAGCACTGTATTGATATGTGTTTACCGTCAATAGCTCCGATACAATTGGGAAACTGCCATCGGTTAAAGAAATCCTCAGATATCTGCACCATAGTCTCTCTTGTCAATGCCTGCAAATATATCGGTTGAAGAGCTTTCCACAAAGTACTGCAGGTTTCTCTAAACACTTTATATGCAGTGGAACGTCCAATTCTATCACTCCATGAAGATGTCCTAATTGATGTGCCTCGCGCTAGCATTCTTTAAGAAAATAACATAGAGCTCACTCAGTGACACAAATAACTTAACATTAGTAATACGTAGAAGTTGAAAATGTACTTACTCAAGAATGATAGCCACGCGTAACTGTAGAGGCAATGGAGTTTTGATGCTTCGCTTAATTAGATATGGTCTCACCAAATCACAAATGTAATCAAACTGCTGTACATTCATGCGTGTATAATCAAAGAATTCTTCGTGGTCTGTAGTTCTCCATTCTCTAAACAGATTCCTATAGATTCCCTGGGTTTCTCGACCATAATTAATTGGACGCACCCACCAACGCCTGATTCTTTTTTTCTTTAATTGCTTTTTTGCGAGCAAAAGCATTAGAAGGAGATTCCAACATTGGGCGCTAATCAAAACATTTAATAATTCTTCGTCCATTTTAAAGAAAACACAATTTATAGCGATCACATAACCTTATTACAATAATACAACCATAGACATAGTATATCTAGACCGAGTGTTGAGGAGTGGGGGCTAAGGTGCACGTAGAAAAGGACATACTCTGTTCCGTGTCCCTTGCGTTCTCTTTCACTCGCATGTAGCATAGCGAAAGAGTACGCTATGCTACGTGCGAGCGAGAGAGAACGCAAGGGACACGAAACAGAGTATGTCCTTTTCTACGTGCATCTTTACTCCCATTTCTTAAATAAAGGCAAACGCCCGGTCTAGATATTGTTACGTTCGCGCTGGACGCTCGGTGTTATGTTCGCGCTGGATGCTTGGCGAGACATTACCAGATATATAAATATGAAATCGGAATGTATAGAAAATACACGTTTATTGTATGAAAATGATAAAAAATATTTTATTCGAAGTATTGCCCATTAAACCTAGGTACCACAAGACGCTGGCAACGTGTGCACATGTACCTAGAGTACGAGCTCCAGACTGACACGTACAATAATATCCATTAATTGGCTCATTAGCATTGTCAGCAGCATTCTCATCATCCCTATTGTTACGTTCGCGCTGGATGCTCGGTGTTATGTTCGTGCTGGATGCTTGGCGAGACATTAGCTGCAAGGCGTTCTCCCTAACAACGAGGGGGTTTTGTTAAACAAAGTTGGGTTGTTGTTTCCGGGGGCTTTCGGTCTGGAAAGACGCGTGTCATATTCGGTTACGAATATTAATGAATGCTGTATTCTTGTTGTATATAATATTTCTGTGTATAAAGTTGTTCTCCTTTTTACGGAAGTGTCCTTTTATTGCGTGTGTGCGAGTGTGAGAAAGTGAGAGAGCGACGAACGCAACATTTTGGGGGCTTGTCCGGGATAGTCATCTCGATATCGGAGTACGGTACATTCACCGAGAAGGACCCGAGCGAGGACAGAAACACCACCTACTGACGATATGAAGCCCACGACGGAAACATCTCTTGGAGCGATACTGGAAGAGATGCGGGGAATGCGCGAGGAACAAGCTCGGAGGGAAACGGAGCTCACAGCGAGACTTCAACAGTTTGAAGATGAGCTCACGCGGCTGCAAGGAAATAACCAGCTAAGTCCTTCGATTTCTAGAGTCGGGAATTCGCGGGGCGAAAACGCGGCGGAAATCAACATACGCGCGGAATTAGATTTTTAATTAAAACCGGACGTGTTTGATGGAACGGTGCCGCTGCGGGAATTTTTCTCGCAGTTTAATTTTATCGCTCAGGCGAATAAATGGGACGACGCGACTAAGACCGTTGCGTTTGCTGCGTGTTTGAGGGGCAAAGCGCGTTCTGTGTCGGAAGCGGTACAAGATGTGTCGAGTTTGGAGTTTTCGAAGTTGAAATCTAAACTCGAATTGCGTTTTGGGGAGGGACATCTGTCTCAGAATTTTTACACGCAATTTACGAACCGTAAACAGAAAGCTGGAGAAGATTTGGCTACCCTTGGCTCTGAGCTTGAAAGACTCGTGCGCCTCGCTTATCCTGAATGTCCGCTTGAGGTTCGCGAAAGAATTGCCTGCGCACAATTTATTTCTGCTGTTTCTGATAACTTTGTTAGAAAAACCCTTCAACTCGAGAATGTTGATTCTTTAAATTCGGCAATAGAGAGGGCGAAAACTTTAAAAATTATTCAAGGGGAAGGTTTCGAAGAGAGAAGAGAAAATTTTAATAGGGAATGTTGGACATGCGGAAAAACTGGGCATTTCCGTTCTGATTGTCCTAGCAAGCAGGAAAACGTGATTAAGGGATAGTTGAAAAAAACTTTGAAGCTCAGAGTCCCATTTAAAAATTAATTTATCTGTTAAAGAAAAACATTTTTCTGTTTCCTGCGTTGAATATTTCGTCCGTTTCATAAAGCATGATCTCCAAGTGTTCCCTGATGACTGAAGTGTTCCCTTTCCCTTTGAAACTGCCGTCAGTCTCTTCAGGAAGAAGGAAATTTAATTTTTGAAGACTGCCTCTTCCCGGTTTTCGACTGAGGTTTTCCGTGGGACTAGGGCGAATGCAGAGGCAGAGGCAAGGTTAGTCTTACGAGACGTTTGGGTCATCAGAAAGTTTTCCCCCCCTTGTCCGAAGACTTGCAAGATCGCATTGAGGCAGCACTAGCATCGAGGAGGTTCACGTGAAAAAAAAGCGGAAATCCTATGTGGGCGTGCGGAAGTTGAAGAAGAAGGAAGCCTGGCCAGCTCTGTATCTTCAAGAAAATCCGCAATGAAGTCCCAGAATCGTAGGTGGAAATGGAGCCTGGTAACTCGTGGTAGCAGCTCGAGGTAGGGCAAGAGACCATTTTTGGTGCCCTGAATCTTCAAGGAGGTCCCGCTAACAACGAGGGGGTTTTGTTAAACGAAGTTGGGTGGTTGTTTTCCGGGGGCTTTCGGTCTGGAAAGACGCGTGTCATATTCGGTTACGAATATTAATGAATGCTGTATTCTTGTTGTATATAATATTTCTGTGTATAAAGTTGTTCTCCTTTTTACGGAAGTGTCCTTTTATTGCGTGTGTGCGAGTGTGAGAAAGTGAGAGAGCGACGAACGCAACAATATACTATGTCTATGAATACAACGCCAAATGATTTATTCTATGGTCGATATTCATAGCTCATATATTAAGATGTCTTAAGTATTGCCTTAAACATCATTAGCCAATAAGAATGCTGTATTAGCATCTGAGATTTTTACTTAAGATGGTCGTAATATAAGAACGTACTATGAATATCGGTCTGTGATTGGTCTATGTGAAATAACATTTCTCTTCGAAAATTCATAAGGGACAAATTGTAGATGACGATGTTTCTCGTGGTTTTTCGGCTTCATGTGACAAAAATACACAGTACAATACAAGTAGCAAAAAAACAGAAGGCAGAGGACACGAAACAAGACGCAAAATGCACATTGTAGATTAGCCTTAAACACATATCGGTACATAATTGGTATGTGGGACAAGTAATAAGTAATCTATAGACATAATACATACATACCAGATAGCCAAGTTTGCCCGATCACGTATTGCAAATTATGCATTACATATCATGTCGTTAGAACTCTGGCAGCAGCCGCGCATGATTTGCCATTTCAATTAGTGCCGGCAGAAATGTAACAGAAAACAAACAATCTCTGCATCATTATATGCTACAAAAAATGCTCCAAAATTTAAGCAGAAGTTTTTGGCATAAAAACAGTAGATTTAAAGCATTGCGTGTTGGCACAATATGTTAACAGAAGCTAAATAAAAACTGAACATAACATGACACATCATGCTATATCGGCAGAATATCGTTAGAAATCGAGTTTATTTGCAAGCACGGCATAACGGTAGAAATGCTGCAAGAATTACGCATGCGCTGCCATTTCAAAAGATAACAGCAAAAACACAGCAGAAACACAGCATGATCTATTGTCATAAAATAATGGTAGAATCACAGCAATATTAAGATATGCTGTATCAAGTTACAGTTCTTTCGTTTACCGCTATATAACGTATCTATCTCGTATTAAAGTTTATGTTACAGATTACAGGCAAATATAAAGATTGCAAAGCGCGGCTAACAAGATTTAAAATGTGTAATGGCTCCTGCACACAGGACGCGGTGACACGGCAAGCGTTGCCATGTCCTGTGTCCTGTGTACAGGAGTCATAATATCTATTTTTATCAGTTTAATTTCTGAATTCTAGCAAAGGACTCAGAATATTGCAGGCGTGTTTTATCTTTACTGTGTTTTCGTCGTCACATTGTGACACCAGGCAATGCTCGACTTTTGCTGCATTTCTGCCGTCACATTGTAACGGCAGACCATGCTTGATTTTTGCCGCATTTCTGCCGTCAGATCTGATATGGCAGACTTCGCTCGATTTTTGTTACATATCTGCTGTCACGACGTAATAGCAAATAATATTCGATTTTTGCTCTATTTTCTCTGTTATATTATACCGGCAAGCCGTGCTGCCAGAAATTAAGCTTAATGAGGACGCAGCAGAGCGGAATCTGCTGCGAAGTCATACATGCATCACAAACGCTGTTGCGGTGGAATTTAGCTATAAAGGCCAAAAAGGCAAAAAGAAATTTTATTGTAAAGAATTGAATACTTGCATCCATAGTTCGTAAGGCTTCTGCGTATTTGTCGCGGCCATGTTAGATCGTGAGGTCAGAAGCGAAAAATGACACGCTGAGAATTCGTGCCATTTATAAATAAAAAGATATTTGGATAAAATAACAACAACTTCAGATCGCTTCAGCTTATAAAATTGTCCGAAAACTATTTTTTTCCCTTGAGAGTTAATAAACAGCTGTAAAATGAGTATATGAAATCTGCGCCTGCGCATAAGCCTGCATATATACAGGGTATCTCTAAAGTCTGACCCTACCCCTGAATCATTTACAATGTATTTTTTTATACAATTATTTGTTTTTTTCTTTACATTGATTGATTTGTCTTATTATTCTGTACATAAAAATATTACGGTAAGATTATCGAAAACTAAATATTTTACGAGATATTTTAATTTTTATATCAAAATATGTCAGATTAAAATATAAAATAACTCAAAAAGTACTTAACAAAAAAATACTTTATTATAATGTTTTGAAAAGCTCTCAAGGTAAGCTACAAGAATATGTAATAAAAAGTAGGCAGTTCTATTTAAAAAATTGAAGGTGACCTTCATATGACCTTCAAGCAACTATTCAAGGTCAAATTAATGACACCACCTTATGTTCCCCTCGAAACCATACAACTTTTGTCTGAAACATTTTTTTCTAAAATGCATTGTTTACGAGATATTCCACCTGTTACGTTTGAAATTTATTACCCTGTATAATGTTTTTGCTTCCTCATAGAGAAAGTTTTGTTTTCGTGACAAAAAAATTTGAGATATCGGATTAAATTTTTTTACATGAATAGAGTATTATTAAAGGATGG